CATTGTATTTAATCCTTAGAGTGACCCTGTCGGATAGGTGGCATTATCCCCACTTTATGAGTGAGGAGATAGACTGTTGTTAAATAAGTTGCCCAGGGTCACATAGATAATATAATATCCTTTGTTTTTTCTATTACACTGTGGTGCCTTCAATTTAAATAATTATTCATCTATTCTTGAACATATAGGTTGTCCCCATTTTTTGCTATTAGAAATATGACTATAATTAACATACTTCATCATAAAGCAGATTATTTTTTGCCATCCCAACTTCTAAGTAACATTTGTATCAAATTCAATGTCACAGTGCAGTGACAACAATAGTAAATATTATTCTTGCCCTTATTTCTGATCTCTAAATTCTCTGGAGCTTTGAAAAGTGACCCAGCCCTCTGCTTGTTTGTTTTTTCTCCCCTTCCAAAATTGACACATCTCACTAGAGTGTCATCAGAAAGATACTAGTGAAGCATCCTTAGTTAATTTAGAAAACAATTTAAAGGCAAATTTAACTTGTCTTTGCTAAGTGGTAGTTTGTTTTTTTTTTTAAACCCCACATTTGTTTATTTATTTTTCTGGCTGTGTTGGGTCTTCGTTTCTGTGCGAGGGCTGTCTCTAGTTGTGGCAAGCGGGGGCCACTCTTCATCGCGGTGCGCGGGCCTCTCACTATCGCGGCCTCTCGTGTTGCGGAGCACAGGCTCCAGACGCGCAGGCTCAGTAGTTGTGGTTCACGGGCACATTTGCTCCGCGGCATGTGGGATCTTCCCAGACCAGGGCTCGAACCCGTGTCCCCTGCAGTAGCAGGCAGATTCTCAACCACTGTGCCACCAAGGAAGCCCTAAGTGGTAGTTTTTATTGTTGCTTTTTAATTCAGTTTTCTGCCTGTTGGAATCTTAATTAATCATAAATAGCAAACTCTCGGCCTAGTTTCCAAGCACTGTTATAAGAAAGTAATATAAATGAGCATAGCATACCTCTGTAATAGTTCTAATTGCAGGAATTGAAATGGTTGCTAAGGTTTTTTTTCACATTATAGTTGGCTAGACTTATGGTATAGAATTATCATAGTATTTTTTTAAAATATTTATTTGGCTGCACCGGGTCTTCGTTGAGGCATGTGGGATCTTTAGTTGTGGCATGTGGGATCTTTAGTTGTGGCATGCAGGATCTAGTTCCCTGGCCAGGGATCGAACATGGACCCCCTGCACTGGGAGCACAGAGTCTTAACCACTGGACCACCAGGGAAGTCCCCAGAGTATTTTTTTTTTTTCTGTACGTGGGCCTCTCACTGTTGTGGCCTCTCCCGTTGTGGGGCACAGGCTCCGGACGCGCAGGCTCAGCGGCCATGGCTCACGGGCCCAGCTGCTCCACTGCATGTGGGATCTTCCTGGACCGGGGCACGAACCCGCGTCCCCTGCATCGGCAGGCAGACTCTCAACCACTGCGCCACCAGGGAAGCGCTCCCCAGAGTATTTATGATAGCAGTACTAACTCTTGAAAATGTAAAGGGTAAAAATTAGCTCCATTTAGTCATTTCTTAGAACCTTGATCACTGTTTTCTTCAGCAAAAGGGAAGGATGCAAATGAGTATAACAGGATAAGGAATATGAGGCATGGTGACTACCCTCCTAGGTTTTAAGGCTTAACTTATTCTATAGGCTAATATATATTTTCTGTAAATATTGAAGTAATGTTAGACATATCTAAGAAAGAAAATTATTCGTACAACAACTTTTTGAAAAGTGGTCAAAGCAAAAAGAAAGAAATGGACAAACATCAGAAAGTGGCTGAAAGTTGAAAGGCATAAAAATATTTATCTCCAAAAAGTTAAGTGTGACACAGGCATCCACTTCTATACAGGCATACCTTGGAGACATTACAGATTCCATCTCAGACCAGCACAACAAAGCGAATATCACAAGCATCATACAAATTTTTTGTTTCCCAGTGTATATAAAAGTTATGTTCATACAGTACTGTAGTCTATTAAGTGTGCAATAGCATTATGTCTAAAAAATGTACAAATCTTAATTTAAAATAGTTTATTGATAAAAAGTACTAACCATAATCTGAGCCTTAAGGGTCTTGCCTTGGTCCTCATGGCTGCTGACTGATCAGGGTGGTGGCTGCTGAAACTTGGGTGGATGTGGCAGTTTCTTAAATCAAACCACATAAAGTTTGCTGCATTGACTGACTTTTCCTTTCATGCAGCATGTAATGGTATGTAATACCATTTTACCCACAATAGAGCTTCTTTCAAAATTGGAGTCAGTTCTCTCAAACCCCTGCCGCTGCTTTATCAATGAAAGCTTATGTAATATTCTAAATACTTTGTTGTCATTTCAACAGTCTTCACAGCATCTTTACCAGTAGAGTAGGTTCCACCTCCAGAAACCACTTTCTTTGTTCATCTATAAGAAGCAGTGCCTCATCTGTTAAAAGTCTTATCATAAGATTGCAGCAATTCAGTCACATCTTCAGGCTCCACTTCTAATTCTAGAAGTGTAGAGAGTCAGCCTGTCTGAAGCTTTGAAGCTAAGCATTGACTTCTCCTCTATAGCTGTGAAAGTTCTAAATGGCATCTTCAGTATAAGGCTGTTTTGTCTACATTGAAAACCTTGTTTAGTGTAGCCGCCTTCATTAATTATCTTAGCTGCATCTTCTGGATGACTTGCTACAGCTTCTACATTAGCACTTCCTGGTTCACCTTGTACTTTTTTGTTTGTTTTTTTTTTGCGGTATGTGGGTCTGTCACTGTTGTGGCCTTTTCCGTTGCGGAGCACAGGCTCCGGATGCGCAGGCTTAGCGGCAATGGCTCATGGGCCCAGCCGCTCTGTGGCACGTGGGATCTTCCCGGACCGGGGCACGAACCTGCGTCCCCTGCATCGGCAGGCGGACCCTCAACCACTGCGCCACCAGGGAAGCCCACCATGTACTTTTATGTATGGAGAGCCATCTCTTTTCTTAAACCTCATGAACCAACCTCAGTTAGCTTCTAACTTTTCTTCTGCAGCTTTATCACCTCTCTCAGCCTTCATAGAATTGAACAGAGTTAGGGCCTTCCTCTGAATTAGGCTTTGGCTTAAGGGAATGTAGTGGCTGGTTTGATCTTCTATCTGGACCACTAAAACATTCTTTACTTCAGCAATAAGGCTGTTTTCCTTTTGTATCATTCACGTGTTCACTACAGTAGCTCTTTTAATCTCCTTCAAGAACTTTTCCTTTGCATTTGCAACTTGGCTGACTGGCGCAAGAGGCCTAGCTTTCAACCTAGCTGTCCACATGCCTTTCTCACTAAGCTTAATCATTTCTAGCTTTTTATTTAAAGTGAAAGACATGCGACTCTAACTTTCACTTGGTTAGAGGTCACTGTAGGGTTATTATTGGCCTAATTTCAATATTGTTGTATCTTAGGGGAGAGGGAGAGAGACAGGGAAGCAGCTGGTAAGTGGAGCAGACAGAATACACACAGCATTTATCAATTTAAGTTCACCGTCTTAAATGGGTGCAGTTTGTGGCAACCCAAAACAATTATACTAGTAACATCAAAGACCACTGGTCAGGCTTCCCTGGTGGCGCAGTGGTTGAAAGTCCGCCTGCCGATGCAGGGGACACGGGTTCGTGCCCCGGTCCAGGAGGATCCCACATGCCACGGAGCAGCTGGGCCCGTGAGCCATGGCCGCTGGGCTTGCGCATCCGGAGCCTGTGCTCCGCAATAGGAGAGGCCACAGCAGTGAGAGGCCTGCGTACCGCAAAAACAAAAACAAAAACAAAGATCACTGGTCATAGATCACCATAACAAGTATAATAATAATGGAAAAGTTTGAAATATAGCAAGAATTACTAAAATGGGACACAGAGACATTAAGTGAGCAAATGATGTTGGAGAATGGCACCAATAGACTTGTTCAATGCACGGTTGCCACAGACCTTCAATACATAAAGTCGCAGTATCTGTGAAGCACAATAAAGCAAAGTACAGTAAAATGAAGTATGCCTATAATTTCTAATACTGGTAATACTGTTTAATTTAAAACTAGAGGCTACATTTAACATTTTAACCTAGCCCAACTAAAAATGTTATAGCAACAATTGCAATGTGGAATCAGAAAATAAATTAACCAGTCATGGCAAAGAAATACATTGAACTAAATTCTCATTACTCTTATCTTTTTTGCTATCAAAATGAACTTATTTTCTGATGTATATTTGGGAAATTAAATTTGATTTAAACCTTCTATGATAGCAGATATCATCATATTCATCCATGTAGCTTACATGTAGCTTGCCATGGGTCTTAGCAATAAAAGTAGAAAATGTCTATTTTTATGCTTTGCTTATTTTAGTTATTCAATAGTGGCTAATATGCTCAAGCTGGATATGTTTAGATAATAAGAGAGACTATAACTTTCACTTTTGTTTGTAAAAAATTACTTTGAGAAATTTTTTTACCATCAGGTCAACTTTTTAGAGAAATTTTGGAATGTTTATATTTAAATTCATGGAAAATATTGAACCTTTCTGATCTCACAAAATAGTTGTGCATCTTATATTTTAAATAATACCATTTTAGAAATTTGAAAATTTTTTCTTCAAAATTTCATGTACATTTTTATATATAGCCACTTGTTCTATATTGGATCACCATCACATAGATACAAATGGGATTAACTATTATAAATTTAAAATATTTACTACTTTGATGTTATTCAATTAGGCCTTATCTAAAGGTTATTTTTTTATTAAAGTATGACAATACTTTCCAATAATTGATTTTAAAAATTGACTTATAGCTGTGTATTTCATTATTTCTCTAAGAGGGCACGAAAGTGGTTTCAGTTTCATCCTAATTGATAGAGTGTAGTGTGCAGTTTCTTGGTACAAAAAGTTAAGGATCTTGCTGAAATAGTGCTTCAAAGTAATTCATAAATACTGCTTGATAGCCTGGGACAGTGACAGGCTCATCGGATTAAAAGAAATTCCCTTTTTTTGTGTGTTCACAGGAAACCTGTCCAGTTTAAGTCGTCTTGGTCTGAGATATAACAGACTGTCAGCAATACCCAGATCATTGGCAAAATGCAGTGCACTTGAAGAATTAAATTTAGAGAACAATAACATTTCTACTTTACCAGAGGTAAGAAGTGGATTACGGTAAACTCTTGAAACAAGCCTGTAAGATAATGAAGGGAAAACTAGTCAGTCTTTACAGCTGGGTAAATAATATGATGATTGAAATTGCTTAAATAATGGGTATGCTATGGACATATAGCCCACCACTAAGATAAAAATTCCGAAAAAGAAAGAGTAGATATGATTATAGGAACAGAAAGGAAGGTGGAAAATCAGTGTTCTACTTTCCGCTTTAGTACCATGTAAATCTTTCTCATGTCATTTGGGACTTGACAATAAAAGCCATTGAGGAGAGGTTGTATAGCTGGTTTTAAAACTCAGCTACCCCACCCAGTTCAGTAATAAAAGAAAAAAGGTATTGTAGAAAGATGATAAAAGAATGACTATATAGAATACACTACTTATTATCCAGATTAATATGAGCTGCAACATGCCTGTGACCCAAATTATTGCCCTGCTTATACAATAACATTAAAGCCTGTTTAGCAATACCAGTCACCAGAATCTGCTATTTTTTTAACACATTATTTTAAATTTGGGTTTTGTTGGTTCTGTTAGAAAAATATTTTCACTTTTGCGTAGAGATTAATTGGGCAAGATGCAATATTCTTTTTTAAATTGTTTTTCTCAACTTTATTATTTTTTACTCTTGCCATTTCTTCTTTTGCTACCTGCTGTTTTAGCATACCCAACAACTAGTAAGTTTGCTTGTAGTTATTCAAGCATAATATCTTACTGTAGTATTCTAACAAGCAAAAGAATGGAATTGTGGAGTTATTGATTGAACTTTGCAAAGTCTTTTTTCTCTAATAATTAAAACTATATAAGTAGGCCTATTATGTTTAGATTATTACTAATTTTCCCATCTGGGTGTGTGTGTGTGTGTGTGTGTATTTGAATTAAGAATAAAGGTGCTTTGGATGAATGTTTTTCAGATATATGCTTTGATTTATAATGAACAATTTGAGTAGGTGAGGCTCTAGGTTTGTAGCAATTATTTTATCAAATAAATTTATTTAATTAATTTGTTTCTTAGGCATACAGAAATAAAGTAGCACCTATTAATTCGGTTCCTATTAATCTAGATGCTTGCGTTTTCAGAAAAAACTTGGTCAGAGTACAAAAATGAGTTTCCCAGGATTGTAGTTTCTAGTCTGGACCAGTTCACTAAAACTACTATGACAGTATATCACCTGTGTCAAAAGAGTACTATTGTTAGTAGTAGTTTAAGTGGGATAAGGATTAGAATCCACAGATTGTAGATATCGCCCTGACAGCTAGACTGTTTGGATTTTTTAATTTCTGTGATGTTGGTAATTTACAGTGATCAGAATGGGTGAGGTTCTACTGTTTAATGTCATCCTCTTTTTAACAGTAATTCATATCCATAATAAGGGAAATAATTAGCATATTAATTAGACCTTGTTGGGATTTTTTTAGGATGTGATTTGTGAGCTTAAGTAAGACTGACTGCTTTTACAATGTCAATATGCCTAAATATAAAGACTGGGTGTATATCAAGTTTCATCAAGTGAGAAATTTTAATATTTATTTATATATCCAGTCTTATTGTTACTGAAGGGAAACATAGTTATTGGAAACCTCTTAGGATAAAGACACGTGCTAAGTATATAATATTTTGTTACTGAAATAAGTTAGGATTTATTTTTGATAAGAGAATTATAAAGAAGACAGCTCTCTTCAGTCTGGCTGTGGAAGAAAGGGTGTATGTGTATTTAAACAGGCCTGTTTTCAGATAGAGAAGCTATGGGGGAAATCCTTGATTGGCCTTGTTCAAATATTGGAAAACATTGTTTTATTTAAAAGTAGTCTATGTGCTTTGGAAGTAGTGTATTCTTAATGCAAATGTGTAATTATCTGCGTTTATAATCACAATAAGAAAAATAATAAAATCCATTAAACAGCACTTAGACGTTCAAGCTGGCAAGAAAAATCAGGAAAGTGGTTTTCACTGGGGGCGCATTATATTGCTGAAATCAGAGCTGGCAAAATGACTACTTTTCCATTTGAAGACTGTCTGAAAATGGACTAGTTTTAATGTAGACATAAACACAAAAGGAGAAAGAACTTAATGAATTTAAGCACATATACTCAAGGCATAAGGCTAGGAGCTCTACATGTATTATTCCATTTACATCTTCACTATAATCCTACTAGTTATTGGGGTAGTCTCATCAAATAGGGAAATAAGACTTAAGAAAAGTCATGTTTTTGGCCAAATTTGTCACGCTTAAATATTTTTTCTGGAAATATGGTGAGAGATATATTATCTAATTAATTCACCAAAGATCACAAGGCTGGTAAGTAGAAGATGTGAGATGGGAACCCAGATGTGCCTGACTCTAAAGCAATGATAAGCAACCCCAAAGCTTCATAGCATGACCTAAGAATGGAAAGGTTGGAGAGCTGCATTCTTGTTGCCCCTTTTCAAATATCCTCAGGTGTTAACATTTTTTCATAAAAGAATATCAATTCAATAAAGGAAGTCAGCTCTAAGAATAATAAAAATAACATTTTTGCCATGAGACTCAATAGAACTCCTTTATTTACAGTGGAGTAGGATGTAGACATTTTCCCTGAATTGACTGCCATGAAAGTTTTCTCTTTCTCTATTCTTTCTTTTTTCTGTGTATAGCAGTTGACAAATGTTGAGTAGCTTATTCATGTTCATCATAAAGGACAAGTTTCAGTTCACTTCACTAATTATAACTTCAATTATATAGTTATTTTTTTCCTTCAGTGGGCCTTGCAAATCACAGCTGACACTTCAGGTACTAAGTCTTCAGTTTCCTCATGGTGGATAGCCAAAATTAGAACATTATTTAAAACACACACCTCACAACGTTTGTTTTCTCCTTGCTTGGGCCTTTACATCAATCCAGAATATTTTCTTCTGCTTCTCTGAGTATTTAAAATTTTTTTTCATCCTTTAAGATCTGGCACACTCTCAGACTCTCAGCCTTCTTCCTGCTTTTCTGGTTATTCCAGTATTTATTCTTTTCTTTGAATTTAAATAAAGAAGTGACTTAAAATTTGAGCACTTATTATAATGCGAGGTATTGTAAAGCTGTTTATATATTTTTATTTCTTTAAAAAAACTCTATTATAGCCTATAAAATAAGGCATCATCATTTTACAAATGAATAAAACTAGTGTTCAGAGAAATAACTTGCCCAAAGTCACAAGCTACTAAAAGATAGGGCCAGGATATAAAACTGCTTTAAAGCCTGTACCAGTGTTTCTCAGACATTAATGAGCATACAGATTACCTGGGAATCTTAAGACTCATATTATGATGCTGTAGGAGTGGGGCCTAAGAGTCCTTATTTCTAGCATGCTCTCAGGGGATTCTGATGCTGCTCTTCCTTGAGCCAGACTTTGAATAGCAAGAGCCTATTCTGTATACTTTATTACTGATTATATACAGTTATATATTATTTTCTTTTTCCTATCTGTGTGCTTTATTTCTCTTAAGTGGGATTTAGTCGTCTTAATGGCAGAGACTCTTTTATAACACCTAGCACTGTGGTTTCATGGTGGGAGACTGAAATAAGAGGGAATATGGGGTTATATGCTAAGTAAATACTTGTTTGGTAGATGTATATTCCCTCAGAAATTTACTGTATGGAAAAGCAATATATAATATGAGGAAGTATATTATCTTCTGAATTTAATATTCCTAAAAGGAACATTTAAATTACTGAATGACACATTACTCTGTGCTAAGCATTATATTAACCTTAGTAATAATTTAGAGATAGGTACTTAACTAAGACCTGGATAGGATTGATCACATAGCAGGTGGCAGAGTCAGGACTCAGACCCAGGACTGTCTGATACCAATGTTTCTGCTTTTATAGAGGTCTAAAACTAGCCACTCATGAAACACCTCTTACCCACAGATATATTTTCTTTACCCTGTAGACTGTTTTAAATAAATTAAAGCCAAAGAATAAAAATCAAGAGATTTAATATAAATAAATGAATTTCCTGTTTCTTTGTAAAGTCTGGAAATCTGACTACATTGGCTCCACATTCCTGCAAGGCAACAGTTAGCTAGAGCTGAGTAGTGAGTGACTTTCCTCTAGATGAGGCATCACAGAACCGGTCCAACCGGTCTGTCATTTGTTACCTGCAAGGCCCTTTGAGGCATTTGTTTGGGACTGCTGCTCTGTACTCTACAGAATAAGTCTTGTTACAGTTCTAATTCTTATGTTTATTTCATTTTTTTTTTTTTACAGAGTCTTTTATCAAGTCTTGTGAAACTGAATAGTTTGACCTTAGCTAGAAACTGCTTCCAGTTATATCCAGTAGGTGGTCCATCTCAGTTTTCCACCATCTATTCCCTCAACATGGAACACAATCGAATCAACAAAATCCCATTCGGAATTTTCTCCAGAGCAAAAGTATTAAGTAAGCTGAATATGAAGGTGAGCCTCTATTTGTATTAGGGGAAAATAACTACTATGACTAGTACTTCTAATATTTATGGTTTATCAGAATGGGTACTTGTTTCTGGCTGATGAGAATCTAAACTGATAATAAGGATACTTCAGGACAATTTGTGTTAGACAACAAATAGCTTAGAACCATGCAATATCCTTAGCAGTTTGAATAATCATGAATATCCATAAAGCATAGTTGTAGGGATATTTATTACAGAGCTTTCCATTTAACTGGTACCAACTTATTGAAATTAATAGGGATTTCATTTCTTAAAAGTACTATATCTTCAGTGAAATAATATGAAGCAATTACAAATAATACTCTAGTGTAGAAGAATATTAAATAGCAGTTGAAATATTCTCAATTTATTAAGTAGGAAAAAGTTAAGCATGTAAAGATTCTCTTTGTACACATTGTTTTTAAAAGCTGTTTTTAATGTGTTCAATTATATATTAAATATCTGTAGATTTATATGCATACATACAGCCAGTGTTTACTAAAATATAATGTTTATCTTTGAATATCAGAATTATTTATGGGTGATCTCTTTTTTTCTAATCTTTTTTATTGAGGTATAATTGACCTCCAACATTATATTAGTTTCAGATGTACAACATAATGATTCAGTATTTGTATATATTGTTAAATGATCACCGCAGTAGGTCTAGTTAAAATCCATCACCATACATAGTTACAGAATTTTTTTTTCTTGTAATGAGAACTTTTAAGATTTACTCTCTCATCAACTTTCAAATATGCAATACAATATTATTAACTATAATCATCATGCTGTACTTTTGACTCTCTTCATCCATTTCATCTACCCTCTACCCCCCTGCCTCTGGCAACCACCAATATGTTCTTTTTCTCTCTGAGCTTGGTTTTTGTTATTGCTGTTGCTTGTTTGTTTTTTTTGGATTCCACATATAAGTGAGATCATATGGTATTTTTCTTTCTTTGTCTGACTTATTTCATTTAGCATAATGCCTTCAAAGTCCATCCATGTCCTCACAAATAACAAGGTTTTTATACTTTTTTATGACTGGATAGTATTCCATTGAATATATATACCACATCTTCTTTATCCATTGATTCATTGGTGGACACTTAGGTTGTTTCCATATCTTGGCTGTTGTAAATAATGTTGCAATGAACATAAAGGTGCATATTTCTTTTTGAGTTAGTGTTTTTGTTTTCTTTGGGTAAATACATTGGAGTAGAAATGCTGGATCATATGGTAATTCTCTTTTTAATTTTTTGAGGAACCTCCATACTGTTTTCCATTGGGACTGCACCGATTTACATTCCCACCAACAGTGCAGAAGGATTCCTTTTTCTCCACATTCTCACCAACACTTGTTATTTCTTGTCTTTTTGATAATAGCCATTCTGACAGCAGTGAAGTGATATCTCATTATGGTTTTGATTTGCATTTCCCTGATAATTAGTGATATTGAGTACATTTTCATGTATCTGTTGGCCATCTGTATGTCTTCTTTGGAAAAATATCTATTCAGATCCTGTGCTAATTTTTTTTTTTTTTTGCGGTATGCGGGCCTCTCACTGTTGTGGCCTCTCCCGTTGTGGAGCACAGGCTCCGGACGCGCAGGTTCAGCAGCCATGGCTCACGGGCCCAGCCACTCCACGGCATGTGGGATCTTCCCGGACCGGGGCACGAACCCGCGTCCCCTGCATCGGCAGGCGGACTCTCAACCACTGTGCCACCAGGGAAGCCCCTGTGCTCATTTTTTAATTGGATTGTTTGGGGGTTTTTTTGCTGTTGAGTTGTATGAGTTCTTTATATATTTTGGATATTAATCCCTTGTCAGATAGATGATTTGCAAATATTTTTTCCTAACGGGTGATTTTTAGTTTCTTTTTACTTGTCTGTATTCTGTACAGTGAATGAATTTCACATTTGTAATAAGAAAAAGGAATTTTATTGCAAAAGGAGGAAAGAAATGAAAAATGATTTGTCCAGTGATTTAATTTGTAGTGAACAAACTTTAGGCCCACAGGTAATAATAATTGGCCACATAAGTAATTCATGGCTGAGGTAGGAATCCAGAAAGCGTAGATTTCCTGCTTTCAGGTATAGTGTTCTTTATATTGTATCATACTACATCCTTTTGTCTTTGAACCATTTCAGAATAATTGTGGTTCTTTAAACTACAGTCTAGTTGTATAATTTTTAATTCTATGTATACTTCTTCATAAGTATATGTATCTTTTATAATTGTTTGGAAGTATATAATAAGTGAACCAGTGGAAGTTCAAAATAGTCTTATAATCTTAAACAAATAAAATGTACTGTTAACTAGTCTGGTTATATGAGGTTTACCAGTGGTAATGGCATTAGTTCTGAATGTTCAATTTGTAATACGAGGCTTAGACAGCAGTCCAGGTATTCATTTGGTTAAACATTTTCTTTAAAATAAATTTATTCATTTATCTATTTTTGGCTGCACTGGGTCTTCGTTGCTGCACACGGACTTTCTCTAGTTGCGGCGAGCGGGGGCTACTCTTTGATATTGTGCACAGGCTTCTTATTGCAGTGGCTTCTCTTGTTGCGGAGCACGGGCTCTAGGCACACAGGCTTCAGTAGTTGTGGTTCACAGGCTCTAGAGCACAGGCTCAGTAGTTGTGGCACATGGGCTTAGTTGCTCCATGGCATGTGGGATCTTCCCGGACCAGGGCTCGAACCCTTGTCCACTGTATTGGCAGGCAGATTCTTAACCACTGCGCCACCAGGGAAGTCCCATTTGGTTAAACATTTTTATGGATGTTATGTTATTGTAATATGTTAGCTTGGAAAAGCTTGCTGTTTTCAGTGAAATGATAAAAAAAAATTGCATAGAGCTTTGTTAGCACTTAGTAGCACTTAGTTGTCTTTAACTTCATTCAAAACAATTTTGTTAGATTGTATGTGACAGCTGTCATATCATTGTGCATTTAAAAAAAGACTTACCAAAATTGGTGAATTTTTGTGTAGCCATTTTAATATTGAAGAATAAGAAGAATATTGAAAAAAGCAACATTTTTGGCATATTATGCTTTATTATTTCAAGAAAGGTAAAAATGCAACTGAAATGCAAAAAGAAGATTTGTTCAGTGTATGGAGAAGGTGCTGTGACTGATCGAACGTGTCAAAAGTGGTTTGCGAAGTTTCATGCTGGAGATTTCTCGCTGGACGATGCTCCACGGTCAGGTAGACCAGTTGAAGTTGATAACGATCAAATTGAAACAATAATTGAGAACAATGAACATTATATTATGCGGGAGATAGCCGACATACTCAGAATATCCAAATCAAGCATTGAAAATAATTTACACCAGCTTGGTTATGTTAATCGCTTTGATGTTTGGGTTCCACATAAGTTAGGCGAAAAAACCTTCTTGACCATATTTCCACATGTGATTCTCTACTGAAACGTAATGAAAATGTTCCCTTTTTAAAACAAATTGTGATGGGCGATGAAAAGTGGATAGTGTACAACAATGTGGAATGGAAGAGATCATGGGGCAAACAGAATGAACCACCACCAACCACACCAAAGGCTGGTCTTCATCCAAAGAAGATGATGTTGTGTATATGGTGGGATTGGAAGGGAGTCCTCTATTATGAGCTCCTTCTGGAAAACCAAATGATTAATTCCAACAAGTACTGCTCGCAGTTAGACCCACTGAAGGCGGCACCTGACGAAAAGCGTCTAGAATTAGCCAACAGAAAACGCATAATCTTCCATCAGGATAACGCAGGACTGCGTGTTTCTTTGATGACCAGGCAAAAGCTGTTACAGCTTGGCTGGGAAGTTCTGATTAATCTGCTGTATTCACCAGACATTGCACCTTTGGGTTTCCATTTATTTCGGTCTTTACAGAATTCTCTTAATGGGAAAATTTTCAATTCCCTGGAAGACTGTAAAAGGCACCTGGACCAGTTCTTTGCTCAAAAACATAAAAAGTTTTGGGAAGATGGAATTATGAAGTTGCCTGAAAAATGGCAGAACTTAGTGGAACAAAAGGGTGAATACGTTGTTCAATAAAGTTCTTGGTGAAAATGAAAAAATGTGTCCTTTATTTTTACTTAGAAAACCAAAGGTGCTTTTTGGCCCATCCAATATATTTAGACATCAAAAAAGGGAATGACTTTTTCTGTTTAAGAAATCTCTTTCTATAGGGAGGTACATATTGGTGCTTTGTTTTTGTGGTTTTACCTTGAATGCTTCTTTTTGTCTTTGTCAGGACAATCAGTTGACATCACTTCCCTTGGATTTTGGAACTTGGACCAGTATGGTAGAATTGAATTTAGCTACAAATCAGCTCACGAAGATCCCTGAGGATGTGTCTGGTCTTGTTTCTCTTGAGGTGAGTATAAAAGAGCATCTAGAACTCCTTAAGACTCTTCCACAGTTTTCTCACTTGTGAAGTTTCCAGTTAAACAGTTTCTAAGTGGGTGAAGATCATAATTACCGGGGTTGGCCAAAAAGTTCGTTCGGGTTTTTCTGTAAGATGTTACGGAAAAACCCGAACGAACCTTTTGGCCAACCCAATAGAAATGTTAGTGCTCTCGGGACTTCCCTAGCAGTCAAGTGGTTACAACCGTGTGCTTCCAATGCAGGGGGCATGGGTTCCATCCCTGGTCTGGAACTAAGATCCCACATGCCATGTAGCATGGCCATAAGTAAATAGATAAAGTCCAGATTTAATCAGTTAAGAAAAAGAAAAGAAAAGAAATGTTAGTGCTCTCTTAAACATGCAGCCCTATTAGGATGATGAAGTGTTGACTTAATCTGGGCTCAATGCTTTTGAATTACTCTTGCCCACTAAAAGTTGGTAGGTTTGAATGCTATAAAGTATCTTTGAAAGAAAGGGTCTCTAAAACTTAGCATCTTTTAGAACATATTTTTTTCTTAGCTCTGTTTAAGAATGTTGCACCATTGTCCTCTAAAATAATTATGGGGTCCTCAGATGGGAATTCAGAACCCTTCATGTAATTCTGACCTACTTTTCTGTCCTGAATACCCACCTCCTCTTTTATTTACTAAGTTGATTATTTTCTTTGTTGGCAGTGTGTGCATATTTCTAGCTCTGTACCTTTAGTCTTATTGTTCCCAATATCTAGTATGCTCTCTTCTCATCCCCATAAATTTTTCTTTTAAAATTATTTCTCATAATTAAAGATCCATCTTCCTGTCACCTCCTCAGTCAAGGATGATTTCTCCTGCCTCTAAGTTACTAACATTTTCACCCTTTGATGAAAAAGTTTACTAATAGTAAATAAGCATTTCTAAAAATGTCCTCTGTATTCATGTTTTTAAAAAATCTAATTTCTCTATTATTATTGTATTTAGTAAGGTGAAATAGTATGGTGTAGTGGTTAACAGCAGGAGCTTTGAAGCCGAACAGATCTGGGTACAGTTCCACTTGAACTCTCTCTATTTATGGATTTAACATGCCCAAGCTTCAGTTTCCTCAGCTGTGAAATGGGGATGATAGTATTCTCCTCATAAAGTTTTAGTTAGGATTAAATGCAATAATGCACATTTCTCATTTAGTATAGTACAATGCAAATAGTAGTAAACTCAGTAAATGATAGCTCAATAAATGATATCATTTCTTGGTCTTACTGAATATGTTTACTTCATTATGTGTAGTATAACTTTGGGAGAAATAAGTGGGCATAAAAAATTAGCCAGAACTTTATATAGATCTTTTCATTTAGTGCTCTTTTCACTATCCCTGTACCCAGTATTGTTTCCCCACCTAACCCTCCCCCATTGTAACTTCTCGGAGAATAAGGACTGTTATCTTCTTCAACCTTTTTTTTTTCCTTCTTCAGGATATTTCAGGATGCCTTGCAATGTAATAAATTTTCTACAAATAATAACTGTAGTGGATTGATATGGGCAGTTTAGAAGTCAATTGTCTCCCTTAAATGATGGTTCGTAAGGAGTTTTGAATAAATAATTGGTTTCCTATTAGATACATATTTGTAAATATTCAGTATCAAAATACCATTAACTGTATGAATCTTAGTGCAAGTAGTTAATAATTTTATATTTTTTGTAATTTAGTTAAAATTAAATTCTTTCCTTTTGCTTTTATTAGTTTTGTCTTAAACTATTTTGTTTCCAATAACTATGGTGATTTTTTTTTAGAATAGTAAGTTTAATGTTTTGTTATATAATTAAACATTACCCTTAACATTCGCTGTTTAGGAAATTAGCATTGCTTAATAAATTTTAAGCCACACAATAATACATAATTCTGTTTTGTGAGCTGTCAAACATTATCAAAAATTTCTCTTTAGGTTCTGATATTATCAAACAATCTTCTAAAGAAGCTTCCCCATGGTCTTGGAAACCTTAGGAAGTTAAGAGAGTTGGATTTAGAGGAGAACAAATTAGAATCCTTGCCAAATGAAATTGCTTATCTTAAGGATTTACAGGTAAAACATTATCCTGATGATTTTATAGGTATATAATTAAAGTTTTTGTAATGCATTCCAAATTGCATGTTATTCTTGGACCAAATAGATTTTCCTGTTATAGCATTAGGGCTGAATTTTATGTTCATGTAACCTATCTGCTTTTGTCTTCCTAACAAATGATATTTTTTGAAAGAAAAGCTTATTTAGTGATTCTTATATTATCCAATCTAATTTCTATGTTTATTTTATTGGTTTAGTAGTTTAGATGTAGTTTTTAAAAATTTACATCAGTTATAGGAAATATATATGTAACCGTCTTTTATTTTGTTAATCTTTTAGAAATTAGTCTTGACAAACAACCAATTAACCACTCTTCCGAGAGGCATTGGTCACCTTACCAATCTTACACATCTAGGCCTTGGAGAGAACCTACTTACTCATCTTCCTGAGGAAATTGGTATGAACCCTTTGGATACTTGACTTTGTAGTAATAATTTGCTTTTGTGTGTTCAAGCAGTATTTCAGATAAATATAACAAATCTACTATTTTTTTCATCTTAATCAGGTTACATCAGGCTCAAGATTTTTTTATAGAGCACCAGTAGTGGTTGGTTGGTTGGTTGGTTTTGATTAGGTTTCCTCGTGGGGTTTTAGGGTTAATATTATATTTGACAATGTTTTAGCATACTTATATTTCAGTAGATTTAACCTCAATTTAGAAGAGTTATTTTTCTTCCAAATTTTAAAAGTACACAAGCTTGAATTAAATTAGTAGTGTCCTATGCCAAAAGAACCTTCCCTTGTGAGGTTTTAGGATTGATATTAATATTGGATTAATATTAATATTTGAGAGTACTTTAGAATTTTCTAAGTGTTTTCATATCCATTATTTCATACTATCAATGTAAACACCTTAAATTTTAGGCAGTGTAAATTGCCTCATTTTACAAAGAGAGTTAATTGATTAAGGTCACATAGTAATTCTAAAATTAGTAATCCCATGTATTATATTCTCCCATCTGTATACCATGCTGTTTCAGAGGCACTATAGATTAGTGGTTAAGAATGGTTTTGGAGTAAAATAGACAATTCAAAATCTGGCTCTGCTGCTTATTGGTTTTGTGGCTTGGATAAGGTACAGAAACTCCCTAAGCTTCAAGTTTCCTACCTGTAAAATAAGGATAGTAGTAACTTCTCATAGAGTTGCTCTGAATAATAAATAAAATCTTAAATGTGAACAAATCCATTACCTAGTAACTGTTGTTTTTTTATTTTCTACATACCACTATCAAATAATTATAAATTTTGAAGTTTAAAAATTGGAAACAATAAGGCAACTATACAGTTTTATTTCTAGTATGTTTATCCATCTGGCCTCATGCAATTGCTAGAAACATTTGCCTAGAAAGTATGAGTATCCTAAGACAGTCTAAGAAAAAATTTTAAAAGATTACATAAATTGATTTTTGGCCTACTGTCAAATATGTAATAACTCTCTTAGTGAAAGATTTATACAAAGTAATAAAAACCTTTCACATGAGAAATTTATTACTGAGAGAGATTATCACATTTTCTCCAAGAGGAAAGTGATTATAGGCATTGACTGTATAATAAACTTACCTCTGGAATTTTGAAAAAATACACATGAATGCCAAGCTATCCCAAACAGAGTCTCTGGAGTTGTAGTATATGTTTTTTCAAATAAACTCCAAGCTTGAAAACTAACCATAAAGGAAGAGATTCTGATTTAATTAGTATAGAGCGTGATCTGGACATCAGTTTATGTGAATATGCGGGAACGTTTGAGATCCACAGTTGTAGAGTTTTAAAACTAAGAGAAGAGAGTAAAAGGAAATGTGTGTTCAGTATGCATAATACCCAGGATAAGGATCATGCCCAGTTGAACTTTTTAAATAGTAATTAATTTTCTTAAAAAATAATTTTGTTTTTTAAAACAGGTACACTGGAGAATCTAGAAGAGCTGTATTTGAATGACAACCCCAACCTGCATAGCCTTCCCTTTGAGCTGGCTCTTTGCAGCAAGCTTTCAATCATGAGTATTGAGAACTGTCCACTCAGCCATCTTCCACCTCAGATTGTTGCTGGGGGTCCTTCTTTCATCATTCAGTTCCTAAAGATGCAGGGTCCATATCGTGCCATGGTCTGATACAAATCTGCTGGTCCCACACACTGTTCGAAAATAGACTGCCGTTAATGTTTCATATCTATATCTGTATCTATTTATGTAGATATTGATATATTTGGCAGATTTATAAAGACTGCGTTATGTGTTTCTGCTAATAGAGGAATCATAGCCATTTAGATTTTTTTAAATTCTGTACAAAAGGCTTATATAAGTTTTCTTTGCTGAACTTGATGGATGTTGTCTGTTGTGTAATATGATATGCCAGTTTGCTTAAAACATTTGCCAACAAATTATGAAGTTATTAAATTTAAGGGCCAGAGGTAGTATAGTTAGATATACTTTCTCTTAGCAAAAATACTGGGCAAACAATTTTGTTGCAACTTTTCATACATATTTTCCCCTTACCAATTGTCAGATCTTTATAGTATTACAGGCCCTGAAGGTATAATTTTTCTTTAACTTATTTTGAAATTTGAGATTTGAATTTTATATATTGTTTACAGTCAGAGTAAATCACTGGATTTTTTTTTTTTTTTTGGTTTTGATTTGCTCTGTTTTGATCAGTGAAATCTAGAGTTTATATCCTCTGCTAAAGAATTTGCATCAGCTGATTTAAATATTAAACGATATTTGCTTGTTAAAACAACTGGCAAAGTGAAAAGATACAGTCAGAAATTCTAGAATTCCTTTAATTATGTTTCTCTGATCAATTGTGAAGCAAAATATCTGAAGTGAGTCTTTGGGTTTGGGGGGAGGGTATTGAGACCTTTTCTAGTATAAATATCTTTTCTTAAGTTTGGGGGAACAGAAACTTGTAGTGTAAAGGAGTTTTCATTCCTGAAAGTTGCAGATCCACAAAAACTAACAGAATAATTTGGCAAAAAAAAAGACAAAGATACACATAAACACACATTCTATATATGTATATACAATGCTATATAGATATGTATTTATTATATCATAAACTACGATAGGTAACTTTAAGGATTTCTCCCTAGCCTTGTACAATGAAATGAATGTTTTTCTTTGAACACTGCAATATATGTATGTTTCAAGGTTATTTAACAGTGTACTATGGTTTTATATCTTGACTTGCCTTGTACATCTTTCAGTTCTGGAATATCTGCGTCTAAGCACAATATCTTCACACTGTGCTATATTGCTGCTGAACTAAATGCACTTTTCCCCACATGTGGAGTACTGGCTTCAGACAATTCAGTTCAGTACCTTTGATTTCAATCTCATCTTTCCTTTTTTGGTAGTTAATACAGTTATGGAAAAGAGCACATTGCATAGAAGCCATTGATAGTTCAGTGGAAGTTCTGTAAGATATGCATGTGCTGTTTGGTATATTTTCTTTTGCTTTACTGCTTTTAAGGCTAGCAGTATTGTGTGTGCCCCTTATTACAGTATACTTACTTTTGATAGTGTCAGTCTAGTCGATTTAATTTTTGAAGAGACTCACAGAGCAAGTGCATTCTAGATATCATCCTAAAAAACATTTCCCATATAATGAATAACTATTATGTATAATTACATATTGCTGCTTGGTTTTCTTTTCTTTTTTTTTTCCATTTAGATGGGCATTGTAGTTTAAATAAAACCATTTTTGAAGTAAGGTTATAACATTAAGATAGAAATTTGGAGTGTTGTTTTGCTTTTCCTGGCACTCAAAATCAGGACTAAGTTTGAGGTTCAACCTGTAGACGTAATTGGCAATTTTTAAAGGAGCAACTAAGAAATGGAAGGCAGGTAAAGATATAAAACCGTAGAATGCTTAAATGTGCTGTAAAACTATTGTAGATGTCACTGGATTTTACCAAGTAATATCCTTTCTTCTTTTTTTCCATCTACTGTGGCTTTTCAGTTAAAGTTGTGTTTATAAAAGGAATTTGTTTATTACAGCTCTACCTAGAGCTTGTGTGTATGTGTGGTTTTTAAAAATCTCATATCCAGGTGTGTTTATATCTTAAGATAATGGAACTTGAACTTTAAAGGCAGTAACATAATGTCTTTTTTTTTTTTGAAAAAAATATGGGTATTGTTGCTTAAAAATGAATATAGATATGGTTTTTAAAACATTTTGGTCCCCCTACTCTCATTTATGTTAGTTTGCAGGAGAAATGCAAAGTGATCACAGTCCTACATGTAGAAGTGATATAACAGGCAAACCATCTATAGCTGAGGAATTATATATATATTTTTAAGATGCATATAACGTGTCACATGTATGGCTGCCGCCCTGCAAGAACTCATGAATTTCATTACTTCTAACACAAAACTAAAATGGACTCTAATTTCCCAATTATCCTGTGCGATCATACTTAATATTTAAGTAGTTTGAGTATAGTAAGGGATATTGTTGAATGACTACATATGAACTAATATTTTCCTAAAACTGCAGTGGGACGAATTGCCATATCCATCAATTGTCCTTTATTTTTATTTTTTTAAAGTATTTAGGTTTGGTTTCTCTGTGAGGCTCAGTAAATAGAAAATGTCATAGAATGTTACACTGTAAAAACATTGCTCTAAACTTTGCTTTTTGTTAATATATATAGTAGCAAACTGACAATGTCAAACAATCCTTTTGTGGTAGTTTAATACTTTTAAAATCCCAAATGATTATTTCATACAGAAAGAATCGGGAGATGCTAAGTAATTTATGGATTTGACGGATACATATGAAAACAATAGAAGATAGAAACTCTTGGAGGAGAAAATACACATAAAATATTTATTTGTACTTTTAGTAAAAGGTGGATAATACAATTGAAATGAGCTCTATAAATGTAATTGCGTATTTCTAATTTATCTCACTGTAAAAGCCTGAATCATTTAACGTAGATAAACTGTTATACATCACAATTTAGTCTTTCTCTGATAACTTTTGTTGTAACTTTTGCTTTTCATCTCAGTTATTGCTAAGCCATGTATAAATAGTGAGTCCAAATTTCAGCTTGCAGAATTTGTGATTGTTCATCAGTAAGAAAGGGTCGTGGTTAAAGTGTATAAAGTGGTACACTTTGAAATGGAAAGGGGGCTATAAATTGTTGTGTTGGGCCAGTAGCCATACATCAGAACTGTCTGGAAAACCAGGATATATGGTTATTCTTGCATGATTAAAACTTAGATGAAAGCAAGTGATACAACCCAAAATAAGAAAAAGAATACATTCCTGAAATTTTCAAATTTAACTAAAATAAATAACTTGTGAAGAAAGATTTCCTTCTGCCTATACCAGAAGAAGATGGTATACCACATATCCTTAGCTAGAACTTTTCTCTTGCCTTATTCTTTTGGTTGGTTTAGCCTTTAAGAGCCAATTTGGGGAACTGGAATACACATGACCATCTTTGGTTAATTATCAAATCTCAGAATTTAAATATGCAAGAGTTGTAATACTGATTTGGTATCTAAGGGAGTATCTTGAATGCTGTTGTATTACAAAAATATTATGAGAATGTTTTATAAAACATCAGTACTTTGTTATTGAATAGAATGTCTTCTTAAACCTGACAACACTAATTCTAAGAAAACATTTGTGGGGTTAATTTTTAATTTTGAAATTTAATTTAAAATATAAAGTTTGAATTTTTTGTTTTAACTTTTAAAACTGAAGTTGGTCCTCAGTACCTTTTGAAAAACTTTCTCTTTACACACTTATTTTCCTGTTGATAGCATACATTCTAAATGTAAACTGTTTTGAATATAAATACCTGTTAGTGATTAAGACTTCAACTGGATAGTAGTTTATAGTGTTTCAGACTGGGGACTTTTTAAAGTTTGGTAGGAGGAATAGTGTCCACTATTGAAAGTAGTATGGGCAGGGCTATCACGTACCGGTTTTGCAGGTTGTGCAGCATACAACACTACATGTTGGGGGGATTTAGTCACATCATAGATTTGCATATTTATTATGACAGTTTTTCAGCAGATGGCAGTAAAGTGCCTTGTTCTAACAAAATCATGATATTATGTCAAATTTCTGATACATGGAAGTAAAGAGTCTTGAGGAAGGAGCATTTTCCCTCCTCATTTGCACAAATGGCACTAGGTGGGATAGTGGAGAGACTTTGATCTTCATGCAGATTATTAGAGCTCCATCCTAACAATCCTAATAACAAATAATATTTAAATGACATTAAAATCAGTTTATTTGTTATAGGTACTACTAAAAAGGATCTTACTCTAAAAGTCTAATTAGAGCCTATAGGTGCTTTATCAGTGACCATTATTATTTAGATTTCATATGTTATCTAATTTACCTTTTATCATTACTGGTATTATTTATATGCTGAATTTAACCTTCCACTGGTCTGATGAGGCTTAATATACAAATAACATTTGCATTAGTCATCTATACCACTTTTATCATGATTTTGTAGAAATTATTTTTCAATAAGTCTAGCTAGCTAGCTAGCACATAAAACCTCATTCCACTACCAAAGGGAATGTTTCATATATGGCTCAAAACATTTATTTTAATATTAGTCTTTAATAGAAAAGTATACTGATGTATATTTTTTCCTCATTTCTCACCTCGAAACTCATTTTTAACAGAGTTCAGAAAGTTATCTTGTAATTAAGAATGAAACAAAGTATTTTATATGATGATGGTGTCTTTTGATTATATTTTAATCTGCACACCAGAACTTGTTTTTAATTAGATACATGATAATTTACATAGTACACAGTTTACAAGGAATAGACAGAACACTACAAAAATGATACCTGAGAACAATATTTAACAGTTTTGACTTTTCTCCTAGTAAAAATCAGCCTTCCACCGATGTTTAACGTGGTTTGTGCTATTCTGAGTTATGACTCAAGGCTAAAAGGTATAAACAGCCTTCAGAAAATGTACTTTTAACCTGATTTATACTGTTGATTATTTTGACTACATAAAAATTTCCTTTTTTAGTCAGTCATTAGTAGGTATTCAGTATAAATAATGTATTTTTTAATGTTTTGCCATTGAATCTTTTAAGAAACCTGCAATCCTATGTGTAACTGAAGTTGGACATGAAATCAGTCTTTGCAATGTCATTGAACCACAAGAATGTGGAACTAAGAGAAATGACTCTTCACTACCATTTAATCTTCTGGAAAACTTTAAAAAAGCAAATGGCATGCATAAGATACACAAAAACAGATGCACAGAAAAATGCAACAAAGTATTTTGTGTGGTGAATAGTGACCTTCAGCATAATTATTATATTGTTCATATTTACTATTTATAAAATTCCAAACTTATAGGATTTTGGGAGATTTTTAAAAAACAGTATATAATGAATATATCCTGTAATGAAGACTGTCCTATAATGGAGACATTGAATTATTAGAGGTAATTCCCCATTCTCTGAGCCTTCATTGAAGAAAATGCTTTCTGTTTTGTTTGTAACCTTTCATAAGAAAGTCTGCCGTTTAAGATGTCTTGGTAACTAAAGGTGGAAATTGAGTACAGGATTCCTAGAAAAAGAAAGTTTTAATATTGGCTAATAAAGACCATTAAGTTGTGTTTTCAAATGTTAATGAGAACAAAAACTATAAGGGTAAAAGAGACCTTACCCAGTGGGAACTATTTAATTGGCTGAAGAAAACTTACCAGGGCAGGTAACAAATATTTGTCCTGTTCACAATGTGATTAACTGTCATCTTTCCTCTTAACATTCTATGATATGTGTTGAATATTTTTAAAACTTCACTCTGGCCATCTTGAGAAGAATGGATTGGAGGGAATCAAAACTAGGAGCCAAGTGGCCACATGGGAGGCTGTTGGTGTGATCCAGGTGAGAGATGACAGTGGCTTTGATTGGGATTGTAGCATTGGGGATGGAAAGCAATAAACATTTAAGGGAGTCTTAGGAAGAAAGTTTAGTAAGACTTGATGACTGGTTGGAAAAAGTGAGTTAGAGAATCAAAGGTTACTTCCAGGATTATGGCTTAAGCACCTGCATGTATTTGCTAAACTATGGTACTTTGCAGGAGGACCAGGTTCTTTTAGTTGTCTGGGTGTGAGGGGAAGATGCGTTCTAGTACCTGTGGGACATTAAGTGGAGATGTCAAGTAAGCAATTAGATACTTAGATCTGGTGCTTAGAAGTTAGGCCTGGAAACTGATGATCCAGCAAATAGATGGTAATTGAAGCAAGAATTTCCTAGGGAGAACATGGAGAATGGGAAGAGGGTGGAATACTGATGAACTCCAACATTTAGCTTTTGCAGAGAAAGGGAAGAATCTGCAGAAATTGAGAAGTAGCTGTAGTAAAACTGTGAAGGAGACAAGGAATATGGTATTTTGGAAATAGAATAGTCAATTTCATTCAGAGTTTACTTTTTCTAACCTCTCAATGTATTCTTCAATATCATTTTACTTTCTATGCCCATTTTTCTGGGACTCTGCACTGTCTGAAATAGTTGCCACTAGCCACATGTGGCTAGTTAGATTAATTAAAATTAATTTCTCAGTCACACTAGTCACGTGTATGTGAGTACATATATATGAATATGAGAAAGAGCACAATGGTGAAAACATAAATGAAGTGAACTTTATGTGTTTTAACTCAGGCAGGTGACTGATTTGTAAAGAAGTTCTCTGGGTTTTCTTGATTTGGAGGGTGGTTATGTGTCGCTCAGTTTTATTATAGGTTCCATACTTTTAACTAGCACTATTACTTGGTGCAAAGCAATGTTTATCATATACTTTGTCAAACACACACTACGGACACAAAATTTTGCCTTTGAGGAGATTACAATCTAATGAATTTCACACCTATTTGAGTAATCTGCTTAAAAAAAATTAAGAATAGCTGATTTCATTGAGAGTTCAGTTTTTCTAACCTCCAGAGCAACTCCTGTTACTGTTTAATAAAGGCCATCCCAAGGCAATTGAGAACACTAATTGAGTTATTAAA